ACACACACACACACACACACACACACACACACACACACACACACACACGTGAGAAGCCTCCGTTACTCTGAGGAACATGAAGCATAAGTAAATGGGCAAGACTCGTCCCTAATCCTCAGAACCTTTTTTTGTAAAGTCTGACGTAATAGGACGGAAACCGAAAGGTACGTACACATACTTCTCCTTCTGCGTCTCTAATTTGAAGATGTGGACCGTCTCCGTGTTGCTGGAGGCCGACAGGTACAGGCCTTCCATGCTGAACGCCAACGAGCAGATGCTCACACACCTAAGATAAGAAACACGTACGGGGAAGCAGGTGAACACAAATACACAGCACCAACGAACACACACACACACACACACATCACGGTAAAACAGCTTTCATTTCTGAAGTGTAGTCAAAGATCAAACAATCTACCTCTTGACTCCTCTCCGAAACTCAAAGAGCTTCTGTCCCTCTGGGATTGAGAAGACACGAATGACTGTGCCCTGGGAGGAAGGGAGAGAACACAAGACACGTGAGAGGATGACAAAGCTTGGAGGCGAGGACACGCAAATAAGCCACATAGTCATCGGGTCAGTGCCTCACCTTCTCCGAGGCCGTGGCCAGTTTGACTCCACTGGCGTCGAAAGCCAGAGCCGCTAATGGGCTGTCGTGGGCTGGAATCATGTTAGCCGCTCGCTGGAAAACACACACAGACACTAGTTAGAGATGCGCTTCTTCAGACAGGACAAAATTCAGAGTGTCAGCTGTGACTGATGATAGGAAGCACTGGGCGACAGAGTCTCACAGGACCATTTACATTTCATTTCAGCTTTGGGTCTTTTACAGAATGACATACAATAAACACGATACAATCTAATAAGCAACAGCGCCTCAGCTATAGACATGCAACAAGTATTTGTGTGCACATAAGAGCTTTGTATTGAGGGGCAGAGGCCTTTACAGTGTTGCTGTTCACCTACCAGGTTGACTGTGTCAAACACCTGAACTTCTCCTATCGTAGCACTGCCTGGGTAAGCCAGATAACAGTTATCATTGCTGATGGAAAGGGCGCACAATCCTGGAGAAACATGAGGACAAATAGAGATGGATTAACAAAAGAAAGAAAGATAAATCAGACTCCAACAGAACCACATTCATCTCAACGTGACAATCAGTGAGACTGAAAGAACGAGTCAAGTACACGGTGACACAACAATCATCTAGATGTTGAGAATAGTTCTGACAGCACGAGCGGGTTTTTGTTCAGTGGTTGTATTAAACAGAGAAATATCACAGAAGTAACTCAGACTGCAGTGACAGGTTGTTGTTTTTTTTAGGCAACGGCAAACAAAATGGAGTTAATTGTTAACTAAAAATAATCTCGTAAATATGAAAGAGAAACCAAAACCTGAGGAAAGTCACGCCCCTAATTTCAGTTTGAGCACATAGTATACTGAGAAGGAAAAACCCTAATTTTTCTGTAGTGTACCACATACTATACACACACACTGTACCACGTTGCTCGTCATGCTTCACACTCACCTGAAGGGTTGGGTGGAGTTTCTCTGATCGTGTGCAGCACCTTCATGTCTCGGATGTTGTGAATGTAAAGGGACTCCTCCAGACACACTATCAGCCTCTGCAGAGGAACCACATCAGTGTCACAGGCACACACAAATTAGACACCGATATATTAACCAACAAGGACATCTGAAGATGAATGCGTCTCCTGTTGTTTGAGGAATGCGTGAGACAGAATGTGTCTGACCAACAGGTATTTCTTCGCCTCTTCGCCCCCCCCCCCGTCCTCCTACCTGTCTGTTGAGCTTGACAGCCAGTATGGTGTTGGAATAGGAGTAGTTGCAGATCTCGGTTCCCTTCTTGAAGTGACAGACTTTGAGCTTCCTGGGCGCCTTGAGGCTGACGATGGCCACCAGGCTGCTGGAGAACAGACGCTCCACAATGCACACATCCTCAGTGTCCGCTGCGGGGACAAACACACACAAGTCATCACAGCGTTCGCTCGGTGGCATACCGTCAACTTTTATTAGCGGCCTCTCTCTGAACACGCCGGTAAAACTTTCAGCGCCATACGCATGTTCAGTAAACATATCGAGCAAAAGCCGGGTTCATGAATTATAGATTATAGCACTTACGGGCTGAAAACACTCATCGCCTTCGTCCGACTACACAACTCTCCAGGTTAGCTCACTGCACATGGATAGTTCACATGCACAATAAGACTGCTGTAGATAATAGATCATAATGTAAATTATGTAAGTCCAATAACGAGGAGGAGGCTTTGATGTATGTGTGTGGGGAAACTGCCAGTTAAAACTTTATGAATATTTAAAGTGACAGCACTGCTCTAACAGTGCAGTGATCATGTCTAAACCGAGCCTGCATTCAAAAACATTGACTCAAAGATATGACTGAACAATAATATAACACAATAGTGATACTGTCAGTGTAGAACAAGTAGCTTTAAACCCACTACACAAGGATGTTGTACTCAGTCAGCTCCCTGACAGAGTAAAGAGAATAAAAGTAGGAAGACAATACTTACTACATTCATATATCTGCTCCAATTTGTCCACAGAGGACAGGGAGAAAAACTTGTATCCTGATTTGGTTCCAACAGCTAAGGACCTACACAAACAGCAGCATTGAACAACTATTATTATATCAGCACGCTACCACAGCCGTACACACACACACACACACACACACACACACACACACACACACACACAC